GCAGTGCACTTTTGAAAAGGCCATGTGTTATTTTATGTACAACATTGATATTCTGTATTCCTGGTACAACAATGTTAAAAATATACCATATTTGATTGGCTTCTTCCTCCCCAGGACCAAAAGGCCACTCTATGCTTACCTCAAAGATACTTAAATCTTTGCACTTTTGAGTTGTAGATTTTTTTTGCAATTGGTTTGCATCTTTCTTTTTGGCTATCTAGCCAAAAACATTGTTATTCAAACATGTTACATCCAAAGTTTGAAATCAAATCCAGTAGGTCTTTGACCACCAATGTATTGATCCAAATGTGGCGCAAAAGGGCAGTTTAAAAGAAAAATAATAACAAATATAGTGCTGTTCAGCTTTGGCGATTCTAGACAATTTGGAAGCATTGAAAAATAATATAATCAATCCAGCAATCATAAAATCAGCAGCATAAAACCTGTAACAAAACCTGGGTTAAAAAAAAACTCATAAACTATAATGATCTTAGCGCCAATGGTAATATTTGTTCAGAAATACAGCATATCTCTAGCAGCACCTGCAAAAAATGCCCTGTTGATGACCTAAGAGCATAGGGAAATTATATGGGAATAGTTGACCTTGAGAATGTCAATCTAACTCTCTTTATTGATTCCACTACTACATAATCCATTCCCTATATCTGAGCCCCGTAGCATTGTGCTCTCCAGTTCTATTTTTCTGAAAAGCAATGCACAGAAGCATCGGGGATGTGAGGGGGTGAGGAAATATAGCCGATATTGTAAGGATTTTTTTTTTTGTTACCATATGCTTAAAATGATAAAGCAGGGCTGCAGCTTAAAAAAATGCTGCACAACTGTTTCACCCAATCTTACACATATTGACAGATGTCCTACAGTAGTTCTGAAGGTCAAAGACTTCTCTAGCATTCTGTGCATTTCGAACTGGCTTGGCAACAGCTTTTAACAACCTTAAAAGCCACCTATAGATATTTGTTTGAACACATTTCACTGCTGGTTTTTAATGCTTGGAGGGCCACCCTTGTGAGTTCTCAGTTTGACAGAGAAGGGCACTGGCTACCTTTTTGCGAAGAAGGTCTACAATTGCTGAGGATAAAGAGCAGCAAAATAAGTTTTTATGAAGTGTAATCTAACAATCGCTTAGTACATTTTCCATCGTTTTTCATGAGCCTGTCATTAAAAAAAAAAAGAGGCAAAAAGGTTTTGAAATAGTTTGGCTTATTTATTGCAGGTCTTTTGCACTGTCACAGTTTTTAGGTGGGACTCACCTGATCACCACACTCTCTCTGAGGAAAGCGATGGATTCTATGCTGGAATCAAGGTAACCACAAAACATCTAATTTCATAAACTTCTCTAGCATAGCATCGCCTTGATGGAGATTTCTATATTAGCCATTTTGTTTCGCAAGACAACACACCATAAAATTGGCTTTAGTGATTATAGGAAGGGTGCTTCTAGGTGCTGAAGCAGAAAATGCTTGAATAAATTGCCTGCCATTCTATCAATCATTCTATCAGTCTTTTAAAAACACTAACAGCTGCAGCATTTGAGGTAGAGAAAAATGTATTAGAAAATCCTCCCATGTTTATTCACCTGAATAAACCTATGATGCTATGTGTATAATTCTGTGCAAATAAATAAAATGTTATCGTAATATTTGGCTATAAGGACAGATTCACACTGTACAATATAAACTATGTCTTTAATGTGACCATATTTATGAGGTCCAGCACAGTGGTGGGATTCAATTTTTTTTTTACTACTGGTTCTGTGGGTGTGGCATGATGGGCATGGTGTGGCATGGCTGGAATGGCAGGGAAAGGATACTGTAAAATCTCCATTCTCTCCCCACTCCAGGGGAAGGATACTATAAAATTCCCATTCTCTCCCCATCCCACTAACCTGCTTTCCAGCTCTGTTATCCTGTACAGGGCAACAAAAGAAGACCCAGCTGATCAGCCGGGTCTCGGGAGGCAGAGAATAGACAGGGGCAGGACCAGTCAGAGGTGGTATTCCGAACTACTCAAAATTTCCACGACCGGTTCTCCAAACTACTCAAAATTTCTGCTACCGGTTCTCCAGAACTGGTCAAAACATGTTGAATATCACCTCTGGTCCAGCATGAGATTAACATTCAAATATTTTGAATTTTCTGAAAAGCACCATTCTTTTTACAAAAATGAGGGTCAAATTCTCTTTTATATTAAGGACTCTATTGTACATCACCTAGCTCATGTGCAATTTGTAAGCCCTTCTTTGTGAAATGTCCTGAGAGCCAATTTGGCGTAGTGGTAAGGTGCTCGCTTAAAAGCCAGGAGATGGTGAATTCTAGCTCCATTTTAGACATGAAAACTGATCGGCTGACTTTGGACCAATCACTCAGCCCAGCTTACCTCAGAGGGTGGTTATTGTGGGGAAAATAGGAGAAGGAAGGAGTTTTGTGTAGGTTTGCCACCTTGAATTACTTCTAAAGTAATAAAAACAGGTTAAAAATCTGATAAATAAAATTTCAACAGCACAATGATAAAACATTCTAAAATAGGAAATGAGTGAAAGTAGTAATTTTAATTGGACAAACATTTTTTAAAAGTCTCCCACCTTTTAATGTATTTTAAACCCAACATTTTTACAGAATAATTGCTGTGCTTTATAATCATCTTTGTGATTATGCCTTTGATAGAGACTTACTGGTAATAGTATAATCATAGCTTTGGCTGATGTGGCATTATTTATATCAGTAAAATTATTTTCTTCCCCTGATAAAATGCAATAATATGCTCAAACATCATAGATGGGTGAAATCTTCTGTTTACCTTCTAGTTTCAACCAGAAGTGCCTTGAAAATGTTTTGAAGTACAGTTATGCTCTACATTTGGGGTGAATTATTCTTGGTCATATACCGAGTTTCTTATTTCTTTTCTATTTCCACAGTTTTCCCCCTATGTTTAAATAAGCAAGTAAAAATTTCTTCTCATCTATTGGATGAGGAAGAAAGTGAATAAAAGCTCTCTTATGAACTTTCCCCATTTCATTGTCTTATGATTAGAGGCATGAAATATAACAGTTTTAAAATCATTTTACCTTAACATCTTTAAAATTAATGTTTATATCTGTGTCAGAGGGAAAGGTGGGTATCATTTTTTTGAATTAGAGTTGCCCATATTTATTAGCTATGTATCAACAACTAGATATCTTTATTTACTTCCACATTAAGATTAGAACAGCATAGCAAATGTAGAATGGTAGAAGTCAGTTACACTGTTGTCAACATAACCTTGATTCAGAATACATCAGTTATAGTTTGGTTTTGTAAATAATGAACAAACCAGAAAGGCATAAAACATTAAAAGACAGACTAGCTAGGAATCTAAAGGACTGTGGTGCAGTCCTTAGCTACAAAATTGAGAAAATGTCGGCGTTTCCACATACTGCTAGACTTGCTCACTCAGTAACTGTAGCCAAGATCACTGATGATCAGTGATTAGAGTTGGAATCCAAAGAACCAGATTCTTTATTCTGTCCTAACATCCCCAGTAAAAGAGAAACATGCCAGGGAAGGACGAGAAAGAGAAAAAAATTTGACACTTTTAATCAATAGATAATTTTAATCAGGTGGCTTGATGAATGGTCAGATCACCATATTCATGTTCATGTAAATTGCTCTTCCATTCATTTCAACATTCAAAGTAGAATAACAGACAAGCAACATGACCAGCTAATTATTGTAATATACACTCCAGCACATTTTAATTAACTTTTTTTCTTCACTACTAGCACTACAGTGCACTAAACCAATCGGTTCCATGCTGTTAGTTAATAGAATTTTTCAAAGGTTTTTCTCCCCTTTCTGCAAAACAGAAAAAAGGAACAATTACCCAACTATACCTGAAAATTATTTTGTAATTACTAAAGATGTTCAAAAGCAAAAGGTAATGTTTGGAAATTAAGTCAATGTCTATTTAATAAGCATTTACAGTGGCTAATTTGACTGAATGGTTTAGAGCTTAGCAGAAATCTCAGGGAGCCACCAAAATAACAATTTCACCTCATCTTGTGAGGGCACTGATCCAAAATCTTGTTAACTTGCCAATGTATTAGTAAGAGCAAGCAAGAGGGGAAAGGTAGAAAGCAAAAGGACAACAAACCTTTTCCCAGTGAAAATTGGTATTCTTGAAGACAAAGAAAATGAGAGGCATAGTAAAAAAGAATCCTTAATTAAAGAATTCTTTAATCTGTAATGTATGTGTTTGTGTGTGTGTGTATTTGGGACATTATTTTATCTAAAGTCATATAATATGACTTTATATAATCTGTTTTGAGGTTAAACTGATGTTCTTAGGAATAGATTTAATTTAAAAATAAAATTATTTTAAAAATATTTTTAAAAAATCCATGGAATATGTTTGATTCTGATACATTAACATTGCCTAGGAGAAAGGCTGCTAATTTTAATTCTATTCAGTTTAGTTTAATTTTCCTCCCTCCTACCCTTTCTGGTCTTATATTTGTTTTTGTCTCAAGTCCTTTCTCATTTTCATAAATAAAACTAAAATTTTCCCTAACAATGCAACAAAAAATCCTCAGTGAGAAATCACTGGGAAATTTATATAGCTAACCATTTACCAAAACAAACTCTGGGCAGTATACAGAATAAAAGCATAATACACTAAAAAGAACATTTTTTTAAAGAAAGTATTTAATCTTCAGACTTTTTTCAGCCAAATGATCATCAATTTGGGAATAGATTATTTTATTTTTAGGTACTAAGGCTGACCTTAGTATGGTTAAACTGATGTTCTTAGGATGCTCTTAGAATTACTCTTAGGGGGCCCTGTATGTTTCTGGCTAGGCTATCTTTCTTCATGGTCTCAAAGGTCTGCTTCCCAGTCAAAAAAAATTAAAGGTTCATCTTTAAAAAAGAAGCCATTTCTCACGAGAAGAGATTAGATGTTGATATGAGTTTAATCTAAGATTGATAACCTGTCTTTATTTCCAGTTTGTACCAGAATCTTTAAAAATTGCAGAAGATGGAAAGGAACATATTTTGACAATCTTAAGTACCATTCCTATTACATGTTTGGCCGAGGATGACATCTGTAAAATTACTTTGCAGTTAAGCACTCAGATTTCTGGTAAGTACCTTATGTCAAGTATAACCTACCACATTTCCCCCCCACTTTTCTTGAAATCACCATACCTGTAACGAATCTATAGGTGGTAAAATGCTCAGAAGTAAAATATCATTTCACTCATTACACACACATACACACATGTGCAAACACACACACACACGCACACACAAACACACAAAGAGAGATAAAGCATACTTATATAGATTTTCTGTTTTATGGCTCAATCCATTTTCCTTAATTATTGTGATGTAATAAATAATAACTTAGCCAGTTCAAACGCATGTAAAAATGCAAAGAGAAAAATAGGGACCACTTTGGGGGGAAGGTAACAGCGTTCTGTGCGCCTTTGGTGCTTAGTCATGCTGGCCGCATGACCATGGAGATGTCTTTGGACAGCACTGGCTCTTCAGCTTTGTAATGGAGATGAGCACTGCCCCCTAGAGCCGGAAACGACTAGCACATATGTGCGAAGGGAACCTTTACCTTTATCTTAATAAATAATGAGCACAGGTGTAAGAACTCACACAGTTTGTTCTCACTGGCTATGCCTGAAGATAAATGGCCTTTATCTGTGCCTCTCACTCGATTTGCCTCTTTTTGCCCTTTAACATTGGAAAGAACCAGCCTCAGAGACTGGAAAGAGGGAGGTGGAAGAAGTTTTCACTCTTTTTGCTCTAAGAGTGAGGCAACTGAAGAATCCACTGTTTCCTGGGACATCCATCCAATGGATGGGGCTAAAAGTCATGGATACAGAACTATGGGATATAGCCCTGGGTATCTCCTTTATATAAGAAGCCATACAATCCTATTTTTAAATGTTAATGTTTTCATGTCTTGAAATACTTTATTATTTTACTTGGTAAACTGTATTATGAATCCTTGGGACCCTCTATTTGGCATGGGGGTAGACAGATATTTTTAAATAGATAAACTAACATTGCTGAGACTATGTTTGGTTTTTATTGCTGTTTTTCTATTCCTGCATAATAGTCTGTTTCTGTTTCAAAATAATTGCATAATAATTATTTTTATCACATAGAGAAGACCATTCAACATGATTTATCTAAGAGAAAAATAAAACTAGTAAATTCTCAACAGTGTTATAAATTTATCCAGTATGTTTTTGTGCTTCTTTAAGATAACTTGTTAGGAAGGACACCGAACATAGCCCTTTCAACATGCCATGTGGATTTGGAACAAAGGCCCTGCAGAGAAAACAGCTGTGGAAAAGCAACTCTTGCTGTAAGAGTTGTGAATGACTTTGTAGAAAATGGAAACCTTATCAGTTATATCACAGCCAAGCCAGTTCAGCCAAGTAAATCTCTGTGGCATGATTATAAGCCCATGGATGTCAAGGTAGGTTAAAGCAACAACCAAGAGGTTTAAACAACATGTTTTTTAAAAAAAACACAGAGCACTGCTTCACTGCTTTATTTATGTTTACCTTTATTATTCTTTTGCTCTTTCCAAAGTTGGAAACTAATCAGTCTTTTAAAAGATTAATAAACCAACTCTAACAGATATTTTTTAAAATGTACTGAATAACCCCAGAAGTCAGGTTCTTTATCATTAGAAAAAGCATCATTTTTGAGAAAGAAATAATTCTTATAAGAGGGTTGGATTTCAGTAATTTATATTTGCTTCAGTTTTGTTCTGCTTGAATTCAGTTACATTGGATCAGGCTGCCAATATTTCACATGCTTCAGTCGTCATATGTTCATTTGGTTCTGAAAAAGGAACTGTTGAATTGTTCCATATTTTCAAATATATCAAAATTAAAGTCCCTCTTGTACCTGAATAAAATTCAGAAGAAATGCAGCAAAATAAATAATTATATTTGAAAATAATTAGGCCTGGTATCAATAATTGCCTTTACTCCTTGTGTTATGCAAAAGGTTTCATGACTGTAAACCAAACCAACCAATTTTGTTATTCATCAGGGATTTGATTTGTTTTAGTCACAAATAAAGAATATATTTTTATGAACCATGATATAACATAACCTCAGAGAAAACCTCATCTTAATGAATGTGCAAATCAGTATTTAGGATATCATCTATAAGGAATTCTGTTTGTTCTGCATCCCTTCCTGACCTTTCAAAATCTCCTCAAGAAAGTCACCCAGATCTTTCAGGACAAAGGGGAAATCTTTGTAGGGAGTGTTTTCAGTTCTACCAGTAAATGAAAAGCTTCCATACTCTTACTTATCCCAGATACCATCTTATCTGAGGTTACATACGTACATGCATACATATATACATACATACAAAATACATATGATACTGTTGTCTTCTGAGGTAAGCAGTGTTCTCCAGAATGCAAAATAGGAGTAAGAATTGTAAGTTAAGAAATTAAAGGCACAAGGAAAGAACAAATAAGGGAAATACAGCTAAATCTTGGGATCTCATTAGTTCCATATTAACTCCATCCAACCATAACTTTTGGAAGTCCCCTTCCTCTTGACCCATTCCTTCTCCTCCACCTCCTCCTCTTCCTTCCCAAACTTTCTAAAACTATGCATTTATATATCCAATTCCTAGACCATCTAATTGCAAAAGCAACTCATAAGTTTTTTGTGACTTAACAAAATTAAAAACTGGAAAAAACAATTAACCTGAAGTAACAATGTAAAAACATCTTTCATATTATCTTCGGCCTAGAATCCTTATCTCAAGGCCTGCAGGAATCACCATGGTTTTTTTTTTACAGCTGTCTTAAAGGTTAGTATGGTGAAGTCCAAACCAATCTCCAGGGGGATGCTGTTCCAGAAGGCAGATATTACAACAAAGAAGGCCCACTTCCTTGCTCCTGCTACATGACAATGCTTAATTTATGAGACACAAAGCAAGCCAACTCTGACTGATTGCACAGGTCAGGTAGATGCTATAGGAGACAGATGGTCCCTCATATCATTAGGACCTATGGCATGCAGGACTCTAATGCTTTGAATTAGATTTAGAGGTTTACCAATAATCAGTGCAAGCCATAAAACAAAGCATTATATACCCCATCACTACTTCTTAAATGCAGATTCCAAAAATAAGTAATTGAAATTCTAATAAAAACCACAATCTAGGATATCTGTACTATGTTAAATCTGATTTGAATTCACCTATAATTAAATGCAACCCAAATCTGGTGAGTCAATATTAAGAGCAATACTGGAATTTTACCTCAAAATCATATGAATTCCATTTCTTATTTTAACTAGGTCACAGTTCAAGACCTCCCTACAGGTTACTGCTACTCTTTCACAGATCCACACATAATCACATTTGATGGATGGTGAGTATTTTTTCAAGAAATTATGTAGATTCTCTATAGTAGTTTATTTTTATTTTAAATCAGTTTGATTCTTTGATATATGAATATTCCTTTGCCCAGTGTTTTACCAAATCCAAAAAAGAAGAAGAAATGTTTGTAAAAACCAAGAGGAAACTAGTCAATAAATAATCTTGAAAGTAAAATATTTCTAAAACAAAAATCATATTAGCAATTTGTATGGAACTTGGTTCAAAATTATAGAAATAAAAACCTTTTTCATAGCTCAGAAAGAGTTTGGATTAACTTGTAGATCTTACAAGGTTGGTTATTATTCACCAAAGATACTGTTTGAGCATCGATTTTGCTTTCTGCAACTTCTTCCTTGATGTTGTCATTTTGATTGTTTAGGCATTACAATAACTACATGGTTGGAACTTTTGTCTTGTACAAGAGCCTTAGCCGTCTGTTTGAGGTGCATGTACGTCAGTGGGACTGTGCCAGCCACCATATTGCCATCGCCTGTAACTGTGGTGTTGTTGCACTGGAAGAGAATGATATTGTTGTTGTTGACATGTGCAACAGGCAATTTCTGGAAACCAAGTCTCAGGTGATAATACAAAACATCAGAGCCTCATCACAACAAAATGTCAAAATCATGAAGTCCTATGGAGGAAAAAAAATCACTGTATGTATATCGCCTTTATTTGCTATACTACTACTGATGGAGAACAAAATGTATAAATGGAAATCAAAGAATGGTGTGACATTAAAAGCATCATTAGTGATATAGTTCTAGAATTCTTTGTTTAGACGATCGATCACTTACTATTAGGAATCTTAAACAATACAGACTGAAGTTAATTCTGCATACCAATGATGGGTTATAGACTTGAATATTACTGTTATGGTCAGAAGACTGGTTTGAATTGTTTCCTCAGTCAAAAATGTATGTAATAATATTAAGCCATTCTATGCTTCATCCGGGTAGTCAAAAATGGAAGAACTAGACTGGAAAAAAATCTAAACATTTGGATATACATTGGGGTACTACTACTGCATAAACCAGGGGTATCAAACTTGAGGCCCAGGGGCTGGATTTGGCCCACAGGATGCTTAGATTTGGCCCACGAGGCTGCCCTGGAAATTGTGAAGGACTGATCCACAGTGCCTCTGCCAGTGAAAACTGAGCTTGTGAGGTCTGTGTGTGGCCCTCCCAAGCTCTGTTTTCACTGGTAGAGGGTTGCAGGACAGTGTCCCAGCCAAAAATGGAGCTTGGGAGCCTGTTTTTTCTGATAGAGTGCTCGGGCCACCACAGGCACCCCACCACACACACAAGTGATGTCATGTTGGCCATGCCAACCCTAGCCACACCCACCTTCCCCCGCCCCAAGGTAAAACACAACCCTGATGTGACTGTCAATGAAATCGAGTTTGACATCCCTGGTATAGATATTCTTTAGCCCAGAGAACTGGATCCTAGGAGTATAATCTGCAGAGCTTTCATTTCTGCTGGCTAGTAAGAAAGGCAGGGAAGGTATCTTTGTTTATTTTCACTTTTAGTAGAGAAAGGGTTATTTAATTATTTGGGGGGGGGGTAGTGTTTTTTTTAATTCTTTATATTAACCAGAGTCACTGAAAATGACTGTGTGTCCATATCAATACGATAGATAGATAGATAGATAGATAGATAGATAGATAGATAGATAGATAGATAGATAGATAGATAGATTCAGGTAGAAAATAAATGCATCCATAAAAATTTCCATTCACCAGATTTTTCTGTTTTTCCAGATCTTGTTCCATTCAGGAGCTTTTGTTCGAGTTGATCTTAATGACTGGGGAATGAGTTTGACAGTAAGGGCACCAAGTAGTGACTTTAACAGAACCAGAGGTTTATGTGGTACTTTTGACAGAAATAGTCAGAATGACTTCCACGGGGCTGATGGGAGCTCTTTACCTTCTCACCAGAATAGCACAATGGAGGAGAACTTCATAGAAGCTTGGAGGTGAGATTTAAGTGGCAAAGGATGCACCAAAAAATGAGCCATCATTATAAAAACATTCTATATAAACTCAGTAGTGTGCTTCTGCAGTGATGTGCGCAAGAGTTCTGTTCTACCTTGACAAAAGTTCTAGCAGGGACCTTCAGACTATATCACTAAAAATGTGTTTTGAACCTTCAGTATAAACTTTGGAACCATGATGGAAGATGTCTATCCTATTGTAGGCCTTTTTCAGTTAAGTAACTAGCTTAGCAGTTTACCAAGCACATGTAATGTTTTTGAAGCAGCCTACCACATTTAATCTGAGGGTTTAATGTCTTCTTGGAGTCTTTATGTCTTTAAATCATTCTCTTTGTCCCCTCCCCCAAATGTAATTCTGTTCTAATGTTCTAATTAGCAAAAATAATATAAAACAATTATCAAGTTTATTTATCATGGCACATTTACACATGATCAATTATTGTATTTATTAATCAAAACTTGTAAAGGATTTGCCTGTCACTTTTGGTTCATTAAAGTAGTTTCAGCATGAACTATAATCTTCCTAGTATTTACTCAGTAGTTCATGCCTGTATTTACTTGAGAAAATGTCATCATAAATCATGAAGTATTCAGGTATCAAACACATTTATCAATATACTATATTTTCCTGTGATTAATGGACATAGATACAATTTTGCTTCCAATATTTGTGCATTGTCCTCTATCATATTTTCATCACTTTCTGGATATTTGCTTGTCTAAAAAGCAAGGAATCTATGATTCCAGCATTCTTCATTTTATATCCCTCCTTGGGTCTCCAGTTATCAAAATTATGTATGAATATTTACCAGTCAGGATAAGAATGTAAAATGCTGTCCATCAAATTAACTGTATATTTTCTTTTCTGAATTCTGTTTGGCTTTATTGGTCTGTCATCAAATGTCTTTTCTAGAATACTTCTTGTTTGAGTCACTAATATTCTCATCCAGATAACTTGCAAGTAATGTTTCCTATATATCAACATTTCTTTATGTATATATGTGTGTGTGTATTGACCTCTGTTAGATGATAGTAGAATTTACATTTTGAAAAGGTGGAAGACATATTGTTGCAATATTTCTTGCTGTTTCACAAGTCTGTGTGAATATAAAATTCCCAGACATTAGCCAAAGCACTGAGTATCTTTTTCAACCCCAAATCTCACTGCCTCCCTTTCTTTGTAGAAAAAGAGAGTGGGAGGACTACCTCAATTCAGAAAGAAGTTAAAACCTATTCAACTAGGATCCTGTACCTTTGTTGAAGAATAACATGTAGATCAGGCATATCTAACTTTTTACTTGCCTGGCCCAAATTGTTTAAAGAGGAGTTGTCTTGGGCTGCATATAAAATATATAATGTATTTTTTGTGTGCGTGCGTGCGTGTGTGTGTGTATTATAAATAATGTTAAAAGTTTATGATCTTGTGGGGTTGCATTACTAGCTGTTCAGGGCTACAGGTGGCCCATAGGCTGTCAGTTGGACATTTCTGATGTAGATGGTGACATGGAAGGGAATTTGAAGAGAGACTACAATTCCCTGGCATAACTTGGCTCTATGGAGAAGGAAGGGGAGATTTGCAGCCTGATAACACTTGAATAGATATTTAATTTATCATCATAGCTTTCTTAATGCTGTTTTTCAGCAATGCAATGCATGCCATTTACTTGCTGTCACTTTTGATGGTGTAAAAAGGGCTTCTCCTAGTAATCTTAAAATATAGACAATAACTTGTAGAAGTTCCTGACAGTTCTGAATCCCTACAGCCCATTTGCTTATTCAGCAAGGTGTTAGAAGAATAATTTGGGGTTCCAACTGGAGGGTTGCACAAGAATGAATCAAAATGAAATCCAGACACCCTAGGAGGAAAGGAGATTTATTTATTCCCAAAAGAGGTTTGTCTCTGGGGATAGCTACAGAGAAAATGAGGTACAAAGGGGCTGTTTTGTAGGGGAGCCTATCCTTAGTGTGGGATATATTTTGATATAAAATTCCCACAAAGGATACTGAATTTCAATCCTCAACTGAGGCTCCTGGCTCATAAATTCTTACATAATGAGATACATTCCTAAGGCCCTTGAAGTTAGTAATTGGCTATTTTTAATATCCTTAAAATTATCCTGAAATATTCTTTTTTCTAACTTGTAGAAGCATATTTTATTTATGTTTCTTTTTTTATCCTGCTTCATATTTTTATTCCTAAATCAAGGTGGCAAACATACTTAAACATACTTTACTTCCTCCTCCTATTTTCCTGATAGTTGGGCTGAGAGGCAGAGACTAGTCCAAAGCCAGTCAGCCAGCTTTCATGCCTAATATAGAACTCACAGTCTCATGTTTTTAACTGGTGCCTTAACCACAAGAGCAATATATATATATTGTATTAAGATATCCTTCTCAGATTATTAACAGCCCCTAAAGTGTTAGATGGATGATATGGTTCAATATACAACTTGCATATATACACCAGGGCTCCAAAATCTGGGATACTTTTGAGGACAAAAAAACCCCTCCAGTCATGTTTCTAAGTCTACATGCAAAGACTTCACATCATACAGTATGAGTTAGAATGAGAAAGGAAGGTCCATCATTCAATTGGAGCACTTGAGTAACATCATTATGAAATCAACTATACTCTGTCTTTCAGTACAAATGTTCATTTATTAGGCCTGATTTGTACAATATGGATTTAGTGAATTTTACGTTCAATCCATTCAAGGGCACTTTCAAAAGGAACACAGTGAGTGTCTCCAAGTATGAAATATATCGTTTTCAAATATTGCTAATGAAGATATGTTGCATTCCTTTCAGCCAATATAAGTTTTACAATTGTTATAGGTACATACAAAAATGAAAACCGATTTAATATGTTTCTGTATGACTACAGCTTTTCCCTCAAATCTTCTCAAGCAGTTTTGAATGCCACCTGAATATCTACAAAGTTGTGTTACATTCTCCCAAGTTTACCAATAGTAGTGTAAAAAAAATAGTTCAGATGATGCCTTTCCCCTCCCTTCTATCATCACATTTTGTTTTTTATAATGATTTTTAAAATTGATTTTTAAAAAGCCCAGTAGTGCGTTGTATTGCTAGTAGGGCATCAGCAAACTGCTCCTTGCAGAGGATGAGGAAAGTCTGAAAGATATGATGATATCTTTTTTACAGGAGGGAATGGGGAGACCTAGAGATAACAGATCTAGGTTGCAAAATGCAGATTTTGCATCTCAAAAGTCTTCATGGCATTTCCTCTGGAGCAAGAGAAAAATATGATGGTTGATTGACTCACCTTTCCAAGATACACAAGTTTGTATTGTAAGGTCAAAAAGAAGTGGAATGGATAATGAATGATGTGGAAAGGGCCTTAGAAAGTCATTGTGAAGTTAGCTTGGAAAATGTACTATTGTTCCCATAAGTATTGACATTTTCTTTTTCTTTTGGAAAATGCTAACATGTTTTGGAATAATATAGAATAAAACATTTGACAGTGTTTAAAATTTCACTCTGACGCTTGAAAGTTTGAAAGCACTCTCATTTATGGGGAAGTACTCCTATTTCTTGTTTTGCTCCTTCCAGAACATGTTCTTTGTCTTTGTAAAATTCTATACATTCCTTATGATTGTTGCAGCAGATCCTGTTTCCAAATCAGGACACAAGACCATGAAGGGTAGGAAAATACAGGTTTATTTGTGCAAAAGGTTCAGAGCATTAGCATGGCAAATTCTGAACCCCCGGCTATTCCTGAGGGGTTACTTTTATGCAGCTCCCAGTCTCAGCATACCACAAAAGGGGGAAGTAAGTCTAATTAGCCATTTTGCACAATTCAGCATATAAATACTTACCTTACACCATCTGTTACTTTCCATACCCACCCTTGCCACTTAACTGTTTACAGGAACATATCTAGTTCATAGGTCATTATTCTTAGACTTAGATTCAGCAATTTTCTGGTTTTCACATTATCATATTAAGCAACTTCTATAATATTTGCGATATAAGCTAAGAAACTTCTGCTGATTATAAGAATACTTTTCTGGTAACTGTCCATTCTGCTTCATGATGATAGTTGTTTTCCTAAGGGAGAGGGTAAAAACCTGCCCAGAGACAAATGTTATCAAATATTCAGAATATCATCTTATATCAATACCATCTATGAACTTTTTTTCTACTCAGTTTTTTTAAAACATTCAGCAGCAGTTACTTTTCCAGATGAATTTTAAAACCCTGTTGATAAAGTTCAACACTGTCATTTTGCCAGAATATATTTGTGTATGAAAATCATTGTAGGTGAATGTATATTTTTGCCTCTTAGTCACTGGAGTATGCATCACCTAATATTTCCAAGATCATTAATCTGTACTTTCCTATTATCTGTAGCCAGCTAGAGAAAATACCTGTCAAAGGAAGCTGCTAAACTGATAAATTTGCCACCTGTGGGCCAACAAGAAGTGGTGTGTGAGGATGATAATGCACCTGATCTGTCAAGTGCCAAGATGTCAGAAACCCACAGAAAAAGCAGGAGTTTTGATTGTTGCTATGCAATTTGACACTATCTGCACTTGGTTGTTAAAAATAATGTAAACAAAAGACTTGATTATTCTGTGGATGAGTTGCTGAAAAGAGACTGAATTCAGTCCCTCAAAAAGTGTTGCATGTTGCTTGAATAAATTCTCTCCTTTCCTTTTTTCTTCAAGCACCTAATATGTGTTTCATAAATTCTAAGCAATTTTAAATGCTAAATTTCTTGGTTGCAATTTATTAATCTATGGATATATCTATCCAAGCAAATAATAATTTGCAAAGGTGTATTCAATTGCTGTATAAAATGGTAATTTCACCCATAATATTCTATTCAATAATGAAACATGTTTTAGATTTCCTGGTTGTAGGTCAGGTGCATATTTGTGATAAATTTCTTAGACCCTGGCAGGAGTTTAGTTTATATTCTCTAAGTAATATTCTATATTCTCTAAGTAATTGCAAGGTTATTTAATCTGTTGGGAAGAAAGTGCAGGGCACCAAGTCTTCATTTTCTTAAAGCAGAAATCACTATAAAGTACTTGGTTGGATTGCAAAATTGTACTCTAGTTCTTTCTACACGAATTACCCAAGAGGAGGCAATATTTCATTAAAAAAATTCAGATTAAAGCTGAACTCCTTATGCATTCTAGTCTGGTTGCTTTGCAACCGAAAGTATAGTGCTCCCCAAAAGCAGAGCATGGGTGGGTGGGGTGAAGGGATCATGTTGAGTTTGTACAAAATACATATGGCCTAGAGATGAAGATGCTCTCACCTCCCACTCAGAAGGTGGAATGTTTGGTCCTAAGTAGTGGTAGATGTTTCTCCCCTACGACACAAAGAGAAAATATCTGCTGCAAACTCCACATAGGCATCAGGAAGGGCATCCGGCTAATTGATGCTCAGTTCCACCCAGTGAAATAGAGACTATAGTGTCACAAAAAGGTTTTTTCTTTAAAAAAAATTGTCAATCCAAGTTTATATTCTGAGAAAATCTGCCTATGTGAAAAGGAAGGCATGACCTTTGGAACTAAGGTTTTCATCTCTGCTGCTTGCATTGCTGAAAAGACCGATGGTTGCAGTGGAAACCTTCATCGGTCTTTGACATACTGCACCTCTTGATTGGTAAACAGAATTTGCTTGGCAGATTAGAGGCTATGCAAAACAGACAGAGGTTGTTAGCCATTAAAAAGAATAATCTCTTGTTGCTAGGGTTAGGGTTTATATTCCTATTGTTTGTAGTTCACCATATTGCTGTACATCTTAATTTGTTTTTTTAAAGAAACCTAAGGATTTGTATTAGTGTGAGGCATGTTAACTGTTTTACCTATTATTCTATTTTATCAGGATAGCTCCAGGGATGAGCTTGTTTGACCAAATTCCGTCCTCCTCAAAATGGCAGAAGACGGAAAGTTTCTGTTTATGTCAGAAGAAGCCTGAACCATACTTGCAACCTTTAAATTCTCTGCATACTTTTTGGGATCCTCCCGCCCAATCTTTGGATTGCTATGATGAGAAAATATATTACACTTCCATAATTCCATATCTAGATGTCACATCAGATTATGTCATTCACTTGAAAACAGATCCTTTATTAAACGATGAGCAAAGTGCTGGTAGTATCTCTAATCATTGGGAAGATCTCCAAAGAGAAAAAAGGCAAGGGTCTTTGGACTATTCACCTATTTCCTCTTTCCAAAGTCCAACTGACTTGGAAAGTTTTTCATATTTTTTCCCAGAAGATTATTTTGAAGGAAAGTGGCCTGAAGTTCAGGCTACATGGCCAACTCCAAGTGGCCTAACCTCAGCTGAAGTCTTAACACATTGTAAGGCATTGCTTGAACATTCTGCGATTGGCTCAGCTTGCAAAGGATTTCTTGGCATCCAACTCGATGTGGCCGTTGAAATGTGTCTTTCAGATGTGCAGATTAAGGATGATCTCAAATGGGGGGAATTACTTATTCCGTTTTTGGAAAACATCTGTGAAAAAAAGGTCCTTTTAGAAAATGTAACTGAATATTTTCATTCCACATATGAGATACCTGCTATCCATCACAAAATTATTACAGCGCTGAGATGTCCCAATCTCTGTAATGGCCATGGACAGTGCACCATAAGGGGGTGTCAATGTTTTGAAGGCTACAGCTCCTATGACTGTAGGATTGCCAATGGTAAGTAAAATATTCTATTTCCTCTTAATCATCTTATTTATTTCTTTACTATATTTATATGCTACCCATCTCACAGTGTGAGGCAACTCTTATTATTTAGTAGCATTGAATAAATGGAATGAATATCTGCAGTCAAACAGTACCACTAATTAAGATACAGTACTTGATAAACCAATACATAGGTTTTTACTTTGATAAATTATTACAGTAACTGGTTGATTATTTGTAGAACTTTATAGTATGTTTGGCTATGTAAGGTGTCTCCAAACTTGGTAACTTTAAGACTTGTGGACTTCAACTCCCAGAATTCTCCAGCGAGTGAAGTCCACAAGTCGTAAAGTGGCCAAGTTTGGAGACCCCTGGGCTAAGTTTTGTTTTCACTTTAGCTAATTGGTAAAAATGGGTGAGATGGTTCCTTTAAACAAATTGGCTTTATGGAATTTTGTTTTAGTCTTGTCATCTACATACCAATGGAAATATAAGTCTGACAAAAGTATTATGTTAATGCAAGAAGGTTTAGAATTTGTAGTTTGTTTATACAATTTTTACAGAAAGCCCACTGCATCAAAAGTGTCAAAGTAGTTTACAGAAGAATCAAAACACAATTGAACCTAGTTAACTCAGGTAAATTTTATACCATACCAGCTTATTGGAATAGCAAACTTTTAAAAACTTTCTTAAAAGTATAGCATTTGGGGGTATTCCTAATATGACAGGGTATTCTAGAGCAGGGGTTGCCAACCTTTTGGACCTCAGGGACCACCAAACTCATAATTTGAGATCCCAGGGACCACTAACCGGTTCTGTGGGCATGTCCTAATTTGTGGGTGTGGCTTGGTCATGTGACTGGCAGGGCATGGCTTGTATGTAAATATTATAAATATTTATATAAATATTGGTTTTTTTACAAAAAAGAGCAACTTTTACCCAAAATCAGGCAAAGCAGGCAGATTGAGTTGCTCACAGAATCATTCAGTGATCTATCTATCTGCCATCGGCTAGCTCAGTCTCTCAAATTTGCTTGCCATGAGTCTGCACTGAATTTGCTTGCAAGCAAACCTTCAGTCCTAAGGGAGGTTCAGCTGTGCTGAGCCGAAGATCTAAAGACTAGCTAGAAAGCAAGAAATCCAACCATTTCCTGCTTCCTAACTAATCTAAATCTCCCAGCACAGCAGAGCAGATGATGGTCGGAAAAAGAAAAAATAGCAATTTAGCAGGCAAGTTTACTGGGTAAGGAGTGAGTGGGTGGGGAGGGTTCCTGTGGGCCATGTGGGCTGAGCAGCCTTGTGTTTCTGCACAGCCTGGATTAATTGCTTTGTGGGGGGGTGCTCTGGGGGTGAGATTTCTCTGCGGCTCACCAAAATTTTCTCACGGCCCACCAGTGGGCTGCAGCCCACCGGTTGGAGACCACTGTTCTAGAGCAGAGGTCTCCAACCTTGGCAACTTTAAGACTTGTGGACTTCAATTCCCAGAATTCCTCAGCAAAGCTGGCTGAGTAATTATGGGAGTTGAAGTCCACAAGTCTTTAAAGTTGCCAAGGTTGGAGACTCCTATTCTAGAGAGTGGAAGCCATCAATGAGATGGTGCATCCTTGTGTAGGAAATGAACAGGCTGACCCAGAGGGAGGGGTCAAATGCATCATCAGTCATGAGTTCCTTCGTACCCACAAGATCTAAGCCCAGCCCACCTTGAATACATTTGACTCTTGTGTACCTCTAATTTGCTCTGGCCATTAGTAGTTCTGATTCTTGCAGAGAGCTTAAGCTTGCAATAAAACTTTATAAGCATTTGATTTGCTTGGATCTTCTGATTTCCCTGGCATCTGACACCATGTCCCTCAATATGATGGTATATGAGAATGACCTTGGGAGACAGGAGGAAGAGTTGCAACCTAGACAACTATTATGCAAAAGATATTTCAGCCTAGAGAAGGAAACAGGGCATGGGAAGCACCTGAGAAAGGAACCTCCCTAGTTTTCTGGAAAGTAAAAATAAAGGAGGGGAGAAGGACTTTTAGACTTGCAAGAATCTGTTATTGTAACCATATAATAAAGGTAGTGCTAGTTCTTATGGTTGATGCTTCTTGTATGGAGTATCTCAAAGGGCCAACACTCAATCCCCCTCACCTCTCATGAAATAGAGAGGCTCTGAATACCTTCCCTTTGGATCACATGGAGCAGCAATATGTGGTGGAGAAACTCAGTCCAAGACACAGATGCAAATCATAAATGGCTTTTAAGTCAATAACTAGTACCTTGAATTGGACCCGACAACTAATAAGAGGGCAATGCTATGCTCTCAGCATTCATGTAAGACTGCTGAATATGTGCAGACAACCAAAGAGATAACCTTGGAGAATGAGGTCATCAGTGACTTTTGCCAGGAGAAAATTTGCCAAGGGAAGAGGGGCAGAGAGGAGAATTAATGGGCTCAATTGTACAGATGGCACTTCAGAAAATGACTGAAAAATATTAAATGTTAATCTGTTTGGAGACTTTTAATTGGTCTCATAACTAAAACATTGAGTATAATCTTAAAATGAAGGAAAAATAGTAGTTTGAATAACAACTGAATGAATTTATATTTAGACTGTGATAAAAAGACAAAGTAACTATCTAAATTGACCACTGTCATCAATAGGGCGCTTTGTAATTTTGGTATTAATTATACTAAAGTATGTCACTGTACAATTACTTATTTGTATCCTTACTTATATTTAATTACTCTGCCATTTTGTAGTTCATTCACAACATTTATAGATGTTCTTGTAGAATGTCTATAACTTATAGAAGTTATTGTAAACTTGTTCTAACCATGGAACCTGTTAGGGTTTTTTATTTAAATTTTGAAAGATTTTTGTTTAATCCCGATGAAGAGACAAAAGTAGTAGCGATGGCAAATTGGCAGTAAAATAAAACTTGTGCTACTTGGAATTTATTTATGCAAATGTATATGTTAAACTTATTTCACAAAAATGGATGTTCCAATTACAGCACTGCAATTTGTTTCCCTTTTTCTGTTTTCACCTGCTTCAATACGGTATGCAATTGTACCAGTTTGTAGCCAATGTTCCATGTCTGAAAAAATGTTCACATACATAGATATTTATTAAGTCTAATCAAAAAGCAAAACAAACACAATATGCATATGCTGAGAGACAGATATCTAGGATGGGCATGACAATTTTATATTGTGAAGTTGAAAAATTATGTAGGAAAGTCACGATTTGAGATATCACTTAGAATAATCCCTTTCTTAGACATGTCAATAGACAGTTGCACATAACATGATATACAGCATAATAACATAGACAATAGACAATAGTGATGGATTAACAAAGTGAAATTAAAATTGGATATTTTTTTCCCCATGAGTGCCAGGCGGAGGCACCTATTTTCTGCCTGTTTGTCTGCCTTTGCAAATCTGATTCCCACTCTGAAGGGATTCAAGGCATACAGGTACAGCAGCCAAGCAATGCAATCTAACATTTCTTTATTAATTCCCACCCAGATCAATGGGACTTATTTCTAAGGAGATGTGCAGAGGATGGTGCCATGATTATTAAGCATACCTCGGGGGAACATGTACAATATTTGCATACATTCAAGTAGTGTAGAAACTGAAGAGGGAGGAAGAGACACAGTTTGATAGTGGTTGCACAGTTAGAAATGTTGTCAGAGCTTGAGGGCAAGCAAAGAGTCAGCTTTCGTGTGTTTGCATGTGGCAAAGAAAAGATAGCCACTCATCTCCTGACTGGGCTGCTTGCAAAATGCTTGCTGCTTGCAAGCAAGAGAGAAAGAGTAGTTATCAAGACAGAAGCAGATGGCTGAATGGGTGCAGGGGTGGGATTCTACAGGTTCACACCTATTCGCTAGAACCGGTTGTTAACATTCTAAGCAGTTCGGAGAACCAGTTGTTAGAAGAAATTACTGGCCTAATCCTGTAAGGAACACAGGAAGGAAACATTCTGGTGTTGCTTATAGAAACTGCCTCTCCGTTAACCCTTATTACATTCTTGACAGGACTAGACTTCTTGTTTCTGGAACATCTCTGGAGTTTTTTTCCCCTCCTTTGCTGGTTCCCTCCTTTACTTGTGTGGAGTGACCATTCAAAGTTACAATGGCACTGAAAAAAGTGACTTATAACCATTTTTCACACTTATGACTATTGCAGCATCCCCACAGTCACGAGAGGCCAGGAGAGGAGATGCGTGGCTCGATGTGAGTGATGTTGAGCTGGCCACGCCCAGCCAGGCACATTACCACCAAGCCACGCCCACCAACTAAGCCATACCCACAGAACCGGTTGTTAAAAAAATGGAATCCCACCCCTGAATGAGTGTGAAGGTTTTTTTTCCCCTTAGTTCTTCAGAATCCCTTCAAATCTCTTAGTATATACTGTAGAACACAATTTGAAAAGCTTTTCATAATGCACACTGGTTTTCACCCTCCTAAATATTTTATAAGGGGCTGTCCCTGATTCTCCCATTTTCTACAGTTTATTGGAAAAAATATTTTAATAATGCACATGTTAATTAAAAGATTGATCCTAAGAATTATACACCACTGACTGCAAAACTTTTATTTGATGTATTTAGCAGTTCTGTTTATAATCCTTGGCACATAAACCTTTGTACTCTGTAAATCTCCACATGCTGATTTCTGAATTTAGTTCTAGTCAAGCACATATGTTTTGTAGCCTCAAAATCGCAGATAAACCTAAGCAAATATGCCAAGCTGAAAAGAGTTCTTAAAAATTGGCCATCAGACAAAAGACACCCAACTCAAACACCACTGATTAAAAATCCAGCATTCAAGGATTACTTTAAAATCATATTCTACATGCAGACAGCAATTCTAATTTCAGAAAAGAGCCAGGCAATGCTCGATTTAGCTGTGTAGGGTATGAGCTAATCACATAGTGCTGAAAAGAGTTAATAACAATCACAATGACAATAGCCTTGCCTTTCATTATGAAAACCATTCCCTGCTTTTCTTAAG